GGTCACCTTGCATGCCACCAGTGGCTTAATAACAGTCACATCCATTTATGCTCATCATTATAGTACAGGTACCTGTTGCATTATTCACCTGAACAACAGGTGTTGCCACTCAGACAACACCTCCACATCAGTGCTGGTACAAGAGCAGAAATTCCAGTGTTTGGGGTTTTTTTGTGAATCTGACATTGCCATTTTATCATTAAAACGGCAATGTCATATGTTGCCATTCGCCAGACACCGGACAGCAGGTATAATGGGACCCTAACACTTGAAGAGAGGAAGCGAGGAGAGAAATGAGTTCAAATGAGATTGCACTCTCCTGCCCAAAACAATCAAATTAAGTTTAGGACAAACTAGTTTGCACCAGATGAGCCCTGGAAAAGCAACTGTGTTTTCAAACCCTGAGACTACTCAGCTGATTTCCTGCAAATCTAACTTGACGCGTGGCGATTGGGAAACAAACAAACAAAAAAAAAAGTATGATGTAATTTATAAATGTTTAATGGTGTGTGATTGCTATGCACAGTAGGCTGAAAAGTGTTTCATTACAGTATTTTCACAAGGATTATAGGAACCATTAGTGACCTCACAGCAAACTCTGGGGATTATCCAGAGTAATGAGGATGTTGATTCTGGAAAAAAAAATGCTTTTAAATTTTTTGATGGCTCTGAGCAAAAAAGGGGAAGATTACATCCACCTTATATTAACATAAAGGGTGACAACACCAAATTTGGCAATGTGGTCACAACACATGTTTTGTAATTGTAGCTGAGCAGTATATCGCTTTATTTTAAAGACCGCAACATTATTTACATTTTGTCTTGCCCTATCTATCTATCTATCTATCTATCTATCTATATATATACATACACATATATACATACATACACATATATACACATGTGTGTGTTAGTCTGTACATTAAATGCATGGAACATATTGATAGGTTACCTATATTAAATGTATATAAACATACTTCTGACAGAAACATAAACTATTTATAACACTAACAGTTTACAAACTTATACAGCTGAACAGCATTCTGGGTAATGTTAGCCAGCCAGGTAGCATAACAGTCTATTAACAGCTGGGAGGAGCTCTGTTAATATATTCAAGACTGATGGAGGATGAAGGACTGTGTTTACAGTATTTCAGTTTAAAAAGTTAAAATATGAATTTTGCCTTGATTTCTGAACCTGATTGTTTCTGTGCTGGATTTTCACTCAGGGTACGGCTCAAACAGCCTCCAGACATATCTATAGTCATGTGATTCTAGGATCTCATGTTACTAAAGACTAGCAGGGGTTATTCCTGGAGACATAAATAATAACTCTAAATGGAGATTCCTTCACAGCTCTTCTGTAGAAACATTAATGCTAAAGACCCATGTGCTGATTTTGTTTAGAAACAGCTGAAAAAATAAAGCGGGATTACTGCTCTCATGCCCCTCTGAAACTCTCTTTGGCCTTGCAGTAGTGGTGCATGAGTCTTTTGGGTGTCACGTGGGCTTAAATGCTAACCGTTTACATCTCACAAGATATGGATATAGGAATGTTTGACTAGTGAAGGTCGGAACTGTCACAACTGTGTTATAACAAATGAACTGAAAAGCAGAACAGACACCCTGCTGAAGACTGGCATTATATCCCTGTGTTGTACATTTAACGTTTGTTAACAGAGCTTAAGAGCGGATTATTTACCGTTTTGGTCGTGTGGTTTCATTTTAATTATGTTTTCTTTCTTTTTAAGTGTTTTATACTTTATATACTCCTGGAGGAGAATGGGCCACTGTAAGCCTATATAAAGGCTCAGTTACACCAATATATTAATAATACTACAACTACAACTTCTAATAATACGGAGATGTACTATTGAACCTCTATAATCTTAAAAATACCACAAAACAAAAATTTTGCTCATACCTTCCCTACATCACACATTGGTTTGCGCATTAACATACTGGAGGCTCTGGTGTGAAGGTGCTCAGTACCTAAAGATACTGCACACACAGTAGCTCCTTGTAAGTCACAAGGTATTTACGCTCTACTCATAATACTCAAAACGTTTTTCTAATTTTACAAAATGAACCTCACGTTATACTAAATAAGACGTGTTCTTTTCTATGTTCTTCTGTTGTCCTAAATCTTTTTTATGTGTTAAAACAGTTTATAGTAACAATTCAATTACAAACAGCTAGATGCTGGGCTAGTACAGGAATAGTTGTAATTTGTGCTAAAAAAAAACAAAAAAAAAACAAACATAAAACAAACAAAACAAAATACAATCCCTCATTTTCAGAACCAAAAATGGGGGGGGAAAAGCCAACTTAATTCATGTTGAAATTGTTTGATTCATACTGGGGTTCACCTTTTTCCATCTGGACAAAGGTCTATGGTCGCAAAATGTAAAACAAATATCTTTGTTTCTGCAGCCATCATTCAGATCAACAAATTGTATCTTCTATTCCTTTGAGCTGACATAATGTAACCTGAAGTAGCCAACGGGCTTTACACCTGGGTCTACAGATTCCTCTGGAAACCAACCTACCGTAGCTTCATTGCAAACCCCACACTTCACCACGTGCTGGTGAATCTTGCCCTCCACAGAGATGAGGCTCTGACACACCCTGCAGCTGATAACAGGGGCACTGCCACTCTCTGGTGAGGTGAGAGGGGAATAGGGCGGAGGGTCCTCCCCTAGGAGCACCGATGGCTGCGTGGGGCTGGGGAATGGAGGGAAACCTGAAGGCAAGGGGAAAAATACAACAGTAGTAAGGACTAGTGAAGGGACACAGTCATAAGAGTTGTGCAGTGAGCTGGAAAAAGCCTCAATTCCCATGACAAATACCCTGTTATGATAAACAAGATAATAAGATTTGGTCTGGAGTTCAGCAGAAAGGAGCTTTAGAAGAAAAACACTCCTGGAATGCTGAGCGGGCTGAGCTTTAACAAATGAGGCTGGGTATTTGTGAAAGACATTTGTGAAAGGTATTTGTGAAAGCCATTTACTCACAGTGTGTGAGTAAATGGCTCAGTTCCATCTAGAAGTCATATGCAGCATGCAGCCCATGTTTCTCAGTTGATCTATTCAGGCACATTTGTCCCTTTCTAGGTGAACGATCATTGGTCGTCGCTCTCCTTTGCAGAATCCCTCGGCAGCCTCCATAATGGCTTTCTCACATGCCAATCAAATCAGGTGTTTCTCGTATGCTAGCTAGCTTAGAGAAACAGTTATCTAGCTTGTGAAGAAAATCGGCTCTCTTAAACTGCCAAATTATATGCACTAATTTGTGTTAAACCCGTAAATGAAATATAATTTGATAATAACGTTACCGAGCTGCATGACTGAGGCTTTGCGGATGGTTTGCCGGTGCTAAGCAGCGCTAGCTGTCAAGCTAGGTTAGCCAGTGAGCACAGCGTTGATTCCCTCCTGTGCTTTCTTCCATTATTTTAAAACTATCGGTTTTATTCAAACAGTAAATGCTTTGTAGCTTTACACCACATACTGACCAAACACAATCACACTAGGGTGACCCCTTCTTGTTGTGATGGCTGAGCTAGAAGAAGAGGCTAATAAAAGCTAAGCTAACTGAGGGTGGAGGAGAGAGCACCATGGATACTCACTCGGTGGTTTGTTGGGCACACCGTACGGTCCCGCACCGGGGGACAACCCGCCGTTACCGCTGCCGAGAGCACCATCGCCCAGATCTGATAATAACGGGGACCTCTCGCCGTCCGCCATACCGAGAGCGAGGCGTGGGGATTAGGGGGGGAGAAAGCGGAGAGAGATTGCAGACCGATACGGTGTTGTATTGTTGTGTCGGAAATGCAGGCGTCACATGATCACACCACCACCACTACGACCGCTGCTGCGGTAACGATGCCCGGGGGTGTGGCACTGCTCACCGGGGGGTGCTACGAGTTGCGAATGTAGGAAAGTTACATTGGAATTATTTGTGAATTATTTACCCCCAGTATTCGATGCACCAGTATAACAAACGCAGGTAGCTAGTTTTTCTCTCCAGTCATCAATGGAAAATTACTAAAATACTCTACTTAGATACTTTTCTTTGATCATGGTAAAAATTAAACAGTCCTTCAGACACTTGACTTGAAATGAGGAGAATGAATGAACAATTAATAGTTAAAGTTTAAGCCTGCATGATGAAAACTGTCTATGTGTCTTTCTATATAAGTTGTTATTAGCAGTAATATTACTTGCAGTAATATTAGAAATAGTAGTGGTGGCGCTGGTAGTAGTAGTATGATTGATTGTTTCCAAAACGAGAACAAGTATAAAGATGATAAGAGTTAGTATGTAATTCAGTAAATGCAGCATCTCCATTAAGTTTTGTGTGAATATAAAAGTATTTTTTTTAAAATGAAGGCTGAGCAATTTTCTTGTATATCATCTTCAGGCAGCACTGAGCTCTGGGTACTCCTGTATGGAGTTTGCATGTTCAAAACTCTCCCCACAGCCCAAAGACATTAATGAGGAAAGATTGACTGGTAATTCTAAATTCTCCTAGGTGGGACTGTGACGTGAATCTTTTTTCGGTCACTATATATTAGCCCTGCTGGGATAGGCTCCAGTCCAGTGAAAAGTTGTATAAAATGGCTTCAAAAGACCCGAATTCAAAGATTAATTAAGCTGTGTACCAAATTAAGATGTGTACACCATGAAAGTCAGTAATAACAGCTACATTAAGTTGTTGTACTGCAATATACACTATGAATGGTAAATGTTATGCAGATAAAAGATTGTTTAAAAATAGACAGTTCCAGGTATCATGTTCAGTGTTCCTCAAAATAAGGGTTTCCCCAACCTTACACACAGTACGCTTGCATAATGGTGAGCAAAGGCTGAATACATCTGTACATATTGTATGTTTTTTGTTTATTTTTATCAAATTTGCAAAAAAATTTAAAGTAAATTTTTTCATGTTGTCATTGTAGGGTATTGGGTGTAGAAATTTGAAGTGAAAAATGAAAATAATCCATTTTGGAGTCAAGTATTTATTAGAAATCCACAATTTAACAGTCATAGAGGCTGTGATGGCACAAGCAATAGCTTAAACTCACAAAATTCATGAAGAAATTCATAGCAGAGTTTTTGCTGATTATTTTCCAATTCCTTTCTGGTTTTAATACTTAATGTGTCAGTTTGTATAATGTTATTTGCTGCTAAATCATCCTTTTTCATTGCATATTGATGAAGTCCATAGGACGCTTCATTAGTAGAGTCACCTCCAGTTCCTCCCTCTCACTGAAGAACTGGGCCTTGCTCTCATTTTTGTGGACCGGATCGGGGAGATGGAGCCCCAGTTTGCTGAAAACAGATGGAAAGGCAGGTTAAAAAAAAAAACAAGTAGCACTGAGGGGGGGATGATATATGTCTAACACTGAAAGACATTAAGAGTTGTGTGATAAAGCAATCAAAGCTCAGATCTTGGCATGCACCTCTGATTAAAAGGAAATATCTGAAACAGGGCGCTTCTGGCCTTAAATGTTGCCTCTAAGTCTTCAGGGAATTAAAAATGAAAGCAAACATTTTCAAAGGATCTCTTACTATTTCGGCGTCCGTAGATCAAGGAACTTTTCTTTCACATCCAGTACCACCTCTTTTGCTTTAGTGTCTGGTAGTTTGATTTTTACCTACAAGTGAGGGAAAAGTTAGCATTGTTATTATTCTACACTGTTCACATTAATATATATATATATGTATCATTTTTATTTTAAAAACATTTCCCCTTTTTTATTCTTCAATTGTAATGCAAGATTAGGTTTTTAAAAATACTTTCCTCCTTCCAGTATATGTGATGCTGGGTTTTTTAGATTGTTAGTTGTTTCCTACTTTGAATATTACTTCTACTTCTACTTCCACTTTTTAAAGGTTAACACACATTACATGTGAAACATCCCAGTTTGAGATCCTGAAACAGCTAGTGTACTACAGTGTTGATTTCAAAGCCGGATAAATGGTTGCATCATGAAGGGCATCCAGCATAAAATGTGTGCCAAATCAAATATGCGGATCTGCTGTGGAGATCCTTCCAGTAGGTGAAAGTACCTAAATAGCTGCTGTAATTATTGTGCCATATCGGTGATTATTCCAGAATCAAGCATCTTACTATGACCAATCTAAAAGAGTGAATGCACGTAATCTCAATATTTATAAGTGTTTTAACACAAACTATTTTAAATACACACTCCAAATATTATTTATTGGAAATCTTTTTACATATGTTTTAATGCATGCTCAATAATACAGGTGAGGAAATCCCAGAAAGTTGATTCTTTTCATTTGGATTTCAGTAGGAGAAACACTACATCACCCATCCAAGTGACTTTGTCAGTCTCAGCTAAATGCAGGTTTCCCCAACCTTACACACAGTATGCTTGCATAATGACTTAAACTAGCAGCATTGCTTAACAAAGAGCCAGAAGGTCTGTGGTTATGACAATGCGTGTTCTGATCATGAAAGCAATAGTGCTTTCTCTCATTATGCAACTGTATTGTTTATAAGTTTGGGGAAACCTGCTGTCAGCTGAGACTGAAGGAGTAACCCGGTGAAATGTTTCTCCCACTGAAATCTAGATGAACAAAATCAGCTTTATAAATCTATAAACAAGACTTTTGTTTAGATTTTGTTTAGAAGATTGGAAGTTAAAGACAATGAAAAAACACCCTGATCTATGATGTCTTCTTTGTAATTTGTTGCTGATCGAAGTATTGTAAGTCAGTTCATCTGTATTTTGGAGTGAAAATGATACAAACATACTAAAACACTCAATTCCCTTAAATATACATAACATTTCATATTTACACAAAGTAACCGACAAAGGCAATCTTAGCAATTTGAGAACATTTTGAAGTATCTGTCAGAGATCAGGTGAAAGATAAACACTATTAGAAGCATTTAAATATTTTTTACATATATAGAGCCTGGTCACTATAGCGTTAACCTGTCTCACCTGTGCTCCTGAACATTTTTAGACTGTTCCTTTCTAAAGTCTAAAACTAACTACGTCTTCAACAGAATTATCTGAAGCCAGCCAACATTTAACAGGAGATTCATGCCTTGCTGCTCTTGATCACAACCTTGTGCATTTCATTTTAGTATCAAAAAAGTGCACTGAGTGAAGTGTTAAGAAATCTTGTGACACTTGGTAAGTTACCAGCATGGCTTCACAACACATGGAGGATGGATCCTTTCTGCTTAATCCCAAGAAGAGATCCTCTGTTCCTACACTCTGCTTCAGGATTATTTCATACCTGCACACAGAGGTTATAAATGAAGCAGACACACTAAAACCAAACACAACAAATATCACATTACCAGACATTTAAAGGAGATTAAACTCAGAAACAGACAGTGTTTGAGAAAGTATGAGGACTCTTTTGAACCTTTAAATATCCGCTTTTCATAATGTTTGATGCTTTTTTACATCCACTGTTGGTGTGTGTCTCTTTCTGCATTGCAGTCTTACTCAGGTTGTGGCCTTGGGTCAGTCAGATCATCATACTGTGAGCCTTCGGCCACTTCTTCTTCACACCAGATATCTTTGCTGTTCTTCTTCGTGTTTGCGGTTGACACTAATTAAACAGTCACATAAAGAGAGAAAGACAAATGCAGAAACAGTATGCTTGAATAAATACTTTTTTAGAGTGCTTATAATTGAAAAATACCTTGTTTTTCGTTTTTGGGTAGGGGGCCAATATGTCCGGGACCCAAACGTGCATATGCTTTCACATCCTGTGAACATAAACTAATATTAGTGTGGGGAGAGACTTGGCTTAATGGTTGCTGTAGTTGAAATACAATGATACATATTCTGTCCACTTCGTTATACTCCATATTCTCCCATTGGTCCTCCCTGCCCACACCTGCAGACTAATAAACTTTGCACCATTTTTCTAAATACCCTAAAATTTATATTTTTATTGAAAAATTATTTTTAAAGGTTCATTTTGCTAGTGTTGATTGATTATCCTTCCTATATACATAGGATTAAAATGTTGCTTTTTGAAAAATGTAAAGAGACTACAATTTCTGAGGAATATACTAAAGGCTAGTGTTAGCAGGGTTTTAACATGAACGCATGTAGATCTTACTTTACACTCATCTTCCTCTTCTTCATCCTGCTGACTGGACAACAAGGCAGACAGAGCCCGGAGGCTCTTTGCGGAAGATACCCCAAGACAATCCATTCAGAAAAAACTAATAAACAAAATAAAAAGCGCTGCGGACACAAACGAGGAGAAGAAAGCTGCTAAACTATAAGTAACTATGACAAAACAATTATTTTAATTGGTGCTAGTATACTAATTTTAGCAGCTCACGTTTGGATTGTTGACGCTTTCTGTTTCCCTGGAGACGCCAGGCTTTCCCGCTGCCATGGCAACCAGTGACGTCGAACAAATTACGTGGCCAGAGTCACGGTTACGCAGATCGCAGTGAGCTAAGAAGCCTTGCCAGGGAATTTCTAATATCACGATCTCCTCTTGCTCTCTTTTTTTTTTTATTGCAGCTTTGAGAATAATGCATACTGTACTGTATACGAGAAAAACTAGGCACTGAGAAAACAAACAACAAAGAAACAAAGACTTATTTTAGCACAGAGTTGTATAAGAATGAACGACTGCTTCATTAATGTAATGTCCCACTGACTATTTAAATTTAACTGAAAGTTAATTCACGTAATGGTTTAAAATAGGTGTCATATTTATGCCTGAATGGGTTAGCAAGATGGCTGCTGGGTGACTTTTATAGGACGCTGTTACAGGCTAAATGCTTTATGCACTGTAAACAGCTTTGCTTTAGATTAGTCCGGCAAAAGTGCAGTCTAAATATCAGTGGTGTATCTAAGATTGTAAATAAAAGAAAGAATGACTATAAGTTGTTAAAACTGTTTAAAAAGAAAGTGATGTAAGTACTAATAATTTCATCCAATTTAGCCTACCTCAGGTAGCAGACCTTGCCTTAGCTTTGACTTTTACGTGGAATATTTGAGTATCATATTATGAGGCCAGTGGATCAGAACAGCAGATATCCCAGTTAAGCACAGAGGACTTTATTGTAGACTACTAAAATAAAGCAGCTTGCTTAAGTCCTCATTCTAACTTCCTATTTTAAAGTTGTCATTAAAAATATAGTTCTTACAGTGTATTTAGTTTACCCATACCTTCACAATCTACCTTTAACAAGTAGGTTATTCCTTTTTTGCAACTTTATTGATAACGAACCCATTCAAACATATGCATGACAGGCAGTCAATTTATGGTGAAACTTTTTTAAACTGCATATCTTTGGAGTTCCATATGAAGCACGGTTTGGAGATGTGGGCACAGACATCATTACTATCTGTAAAGAAAGCCTTGTCCTCACTGATATACTTTATTCCTCCTGCCACTGTTGGCGCGCTTTCAAGCGTAGTAAAAGCGTTTGGGTGAGAATCAGAGAGGCGGGGCTATCTGCCTTGTCCCTCCGTGAATACCGTAGTGAATGCATGGCCCGCGGGGATCATGTTGAAGGTGACAGGTAGTGCCATGCCGGGAGCCCTGCGATTTTCACCGTTCACCGTGTTTGCTGCTGCCGGTGACGGCGAGAAGGAACCAGCGGTGGCTCCGTTAAACGTGGACGAACTGTCTCTGTACACCGCTCCCCCGGAGAAGTTTCAGTACGTGGAGCCTAAAGCCGGGCAGCTGGAGGAGCGAGTCGCCACCCTCAGGAAGTTATCGGAGCCGTACACTGCTTGGTGTCAGGTCACCTATGAGAAAATTAAACCCAAAGTTCAGGGGGTCTTCCAGTTTGGGAACGACGCATACGCCTATGTGAAGAACCCCCCGAAGGACTTCTACCCCCGGGCGGGAATCATCGGCTTTACCGGAGTCCTCGGGCTGGTTCTTGCCAGAGGTTCCAGGATTAAGAAACTCATCTACCCGACCACTCTCATGACCCTGAGCGCCTCTCTCTACTACCCGGAGCAAGCAGCGTCCATCGCAAAGTCAACCGGAGACTCCGTGTACGACTTGGCCGTGCAGAGCTACGCAGCGGCGGAGAAGATCCTAAACCCCCAGAGCAAAGCTGAGAAGGTCAATAAACCCGAAAAGAGCAGCGACTCCGAACCAAACAGTGACGACCCCGGCGTGACTGCAATAACCGAGCAGTAGCCAATCACACAGCAGCTTTATCCCGATACTGTAAACTGAGCGCTTTCTAGACAGTGTGACTTTTTCATGCCTACACTTTGCACTAAGCTTCACATGAAACTCAGGCCAGGCAAAGGGAAGGGGGGATTTGCAACTTGAATGACTCCCTTCCGATTTGAATGTGTATTTATGTAGAGATAAAGCAGTGTCTTACATTAAAGTTGCTTTATCGCCTTGATTCTGTGTCTTATAATGCCACATGCACAAACAAGATGGTCAGCACCAAAGAGAAGAAAACTAATTCAGGATTTTAATAATCAGTCGTTTATTTTAACAATTTTGTTCAATGGAGTGACAAAGACCAAAGTAGGCAAGTCACATTTGATCTGAAATTGTGTATTAGTTTCAAGTTTTATTTGTCATATACAGGAAACAATTATTATACTCACAGATTTTAAACATATTTTATAAAATAGGTTTTGCTAAAAAGTCATTATCCTACATAAACTCAAAACATTTGTAGTATTAAGTACTCATTAGACCCATTTGCATTACACTGCTCAGTAATGCTGGATATATCTCAGCTTTATATTCGAATGCTTTTAAAGTAAAAACTTCAAAGTCATTCTAAAGCTTTAAAGTAAATGGTATGGAGTAGAAATGGCTAAAAACACTGAGTGGAAGTAGAAAACAGCATGACCCAGAAGTACTTAGAAGCACTACTTAAAACGACATACACACCCACCATGACATCACCTACTAATTAGTAAAATCTCAGCTTTGAGTTGAGCAATTTTGCTATTGCCAGCTTAGCATTCTGAAACTGGATACGCCAAAACAACCAGTGGTTCAGTCTGAAATTAAGCCCATGCTCATTGGGTAGCAACTTGCAAATAAAATGTCATTAGCCAATGAGCATTTCCTGGAAAATCATAATTTCTGACTTAGTAAATTTAATGTTTTATGAAATATAACTTGTGACTGAGCTCACAAATAATCAGTAAAATGTTGATGTTAAAAAGGACTGGAAGGCCGTTAACCTTATAATTCTATGTAAACCAAAGTCCTTTTACAGGCAGACGTTCCCACCGCCTGCTGACCTTCAGAAAGAATGAAAGCTTGAGGGGCCTCACACCCTTAAACTATGCTCATCTTTTACACCACAAATGAACTCTAGTCAAAATATATTGGTGGAGGGCCAATCAAATGTCATGGGTCGAACAGCCACCCCATGTCCCCCCTCTACATACGCCCATGATAAGATATAAGGTCAGTTGTCTCCTTAAAAATACATTATTACAGATCAAGAATCATGAAGCAGGTTGACAGCAGTAAATGCGAGGTGTCTAATAAGCAGAAAGGAAACGTGTTAGCAGTATGATCCTTCCTTTAATGTTCATTAGCTACTTGTGACAAACCAAGCAGCCTTAAATTTAATTACCATCTTACCACAGGGAATGAACACTTTGTGACTGTTTAACATCTTTATTTTCATATCAGCCAAAAAAAAAAAAAAAAAAAAGTACAAAAATTAAATATGAATAACTTCAAAGAAACCCTCTCAGAGCAGCACCAGCTTCTCACTGAGAGCAATTTTTACTTGGGTGAGGTTGGACAGGTAGGTCACCATCAACAGGTCCTGCAACAACAAAAGAGAGCATTTAGATTCACACTAAACTAAAGTGAAAGATTATAACAGCATAACAAGGAAACAAGATTAAAGGATGGCAAGTTTGGAAAGATAATGCCCAGATAAATGATGCAAAAATACTTCCATCTTCTAAAGCTTCTAATCCTGAAGTAAAACAGTATGATGCAAGTAGAGCCCAGAGACCATAAATAACCATAAAAACAGGAGGAGAGTTTAATTAAATGCCAAAAACAACTCAGAGCTCACCTAAAGCCTCTTATATAAGAGATATGACAATTCAGTTTACTCTTTTTAGAGCCAATGTGTTTATACGTGGAGAGAAATTAAGTACATTATTGCCACAACAATAAAATTTTCAGCTACTTCCTTGTCACAACAGGTCAGCACAGCGGGTTCGATTTGGCAGTTTATTGCCAGATGATCTTCCTGACGCTAGACTTGTGTCTCTACCACAATAATAAAAATGACAGTGTCTATTAAGCTAGTCTCTACTGCTATTTTTTAAGTGCCATTTGCCTGTCTGTTTAGATCAAATAGCAAAACAAAAATGGTAGTTGTCACTGATATAGTAACTTAAACACGAGCACTTACATTGATGTTGGAATTGAGCATGTTCTCAAAGTCCTCAGGTGAGATAGTGGGCACTTTGTTTACCAGATCCATCAGGAAACGGCCCACGCTGTTGTCTGCTGTCACCTTGCCAGACTGAAACAGAACAACATGAACTTCATAGCCATCATCAGCGCAAAACTTAATTACTGCTCAAATGTTCCCAGGTGACCAATATTAAGTTAAATTGGCAGGGATTTAATTAGAAAAGAAAAAAAAAACCCAGGGGACAAGTTTGTCTTGATACTCACCAGCACATCCTCAATGTATGCCAGCACTGTGGTCAACATGTCCTGTACCCTGGCTGCAGCACCACCAACCTGAGACAGGTCAGAGGTCAGCCCCTTGGTACGACTGGGGGTCACACGTGTTCGCTGTAGCAGGTCCACTAAAGAACAAATAGAGAGTATAATATAAAGTTTTCTTTCCTTTCATATGCACCCCAGCGAGTTGTTTGAGACACTGGGATTTAATTAGTTGGCATTTCACAGATACTTAGTCACGAAGCATTTGTTTTCAAACAGTCGCCTTCATTTATTCTTTGTATTCTTACCGCCTATCCTCTCAGTGTCATAGTACACATACTTGACAGACAGTGGGGTGAACATCACACCAACTGTCTTTCCTGGCACACCCATCTGCGCACTGTGTAGGAGACACACAAACACATTCAGAGAAGCACTTTCAGGCTGTAGATGATCACATAAACACAGGCGCTGACAGAAAGATCAGCCAACCTGACGTAGGCGCGGATGTTCATTTTGCCACTCTGCAGTGCCGTGTCCACGGTCAGGTGAATGGGATTAGAGGCCTCACGGCTGTAGTACTCGTGGATGAGCACTGAATGTTCTGTGATATCAAAGCCTGTGGCATACCTGTCAGAAAAGATGAACATCTGCTAAAGAATACTGTTTTTTCCACTTTTAACTTTAAATTGTTAATATGACCGACTGACGCACCATCCGATGATGACCTCTGTAGGTGAAACCCTCTTGTGAAGCTCGTACATGTTCTTGGCAAACTCCATGTCCACAGCAACCTGTTGTCAAAAACAATGCA